AATCAAGCGGCAATGGCAAACTCAACCACTTCACTCGCCAACTTGATCCCGCTCCTTCGTCTCGAGCCGGATGGTACATGCTTCAACTACAAGGCTTCGCGCTATGGTGTCGGCAAGCACCTCAATCACAATAGAGTTCACCCTCGACAGTGGGGCCACTCACACAGTTCTCAAGGAAGAACACTCCTTCAAGCCATACGAGACACCAATCCGTCTACTTGGAGCAGACTCCAGTTTCACAACACACGCCAAGGGCTCCTCCACAGTTCCGTGCCCAGCTTTTCCTTCGGGCAGTGTGACTGGCATGTGTGTTCCCACACTACGCCACAATCTCGTGGCCCAACACGAGCTCCAACGGGCAGGCGTCACCACGATCTTCCCAGCACACTCGGATCACTGTGACCTCTTCGACCCTAAGTCCAACAAGCTCCTAGCACGCTTCACACTCAACAGCAGCAAGCTCTACACGATGCATTCACCTGCACCTCTTGCCGCCCTCTCCTAAGAGCAAGCTGCCAACACCATTCCGTGTTCCTATTGCAGCTTCGCCAACCCAACCATCCTCCACCATCATCGCTTGGGTCACCCCAACTTCCGTACGCTTGCTGACATCGCTTTCAAGAAACTTCTTCTTGGCCTCCCGTCGGCGCTTCCTCCACCAACAGACTCACCTGCACCCACCTGCATGGACTGTACCAAGAGCAAGCTCAGGCAGCAGCCTCACCCTTCCTCCCCATCCGTCGTAGCTGCTTCGCTCGACCTAGTGCACATGGATGTCTGGTGCCCAGCTCCAGTCGCATCCAGAGGCGGTCATCGGTACATTCTTACACTAGTCAATGACCATTCGCGGCATGTTTCCGTGCACCTCCTACATACCAAGGCGGAGGCACCTGACCTCATCATGGCATGGGTGCGCCAGGCTCAAGTCACGTTCGGCACTCCTCTGAAATGCCTCCATTCTGATGGTGGGGGAGAGTTTCGAAATGGCAAACTCGATAACTTCTACGCGACCCAAGGGATTCGGCAAACCTTTACGCTCCCCAAAAGCCCGCAACAGAATGGCATTGCAGAGAGCCGCAACCACCACACATTGGTTTAGATCGCTCGCTGCCACCTCACTCACACCAATGCACTACGGTCACTCTGGGGATATGCCCTCTTCCATGCGGCACTCCTCTACATTCTTTATCCGCATCCCCACCGGCCCGACACCACACCAACCACTCTCTCGCTTGGGGCCACGCCCTCCGCCCGCTCTCTACGTGTCTGGGAATGTACTGCGTATGTGTTGCTCAGCCCCCATGCGCGCAGGAAGCGAGGTGGCAAGCTTGGTCCCAAAACTCAGACCTGCATGTACCTGGGGCACAACTCCGGCTCCCCAGACTACTTATTCCTCAACCCCATCACCAGACAGTTGATTCGCAGCCGTGATATCGTCTTCGATGAGACACGCCCCTTCCACTCTGCGACCACGGGCGAGCCTCCTCCACCTCCCCCGATGCTTGTATGGGCAGATTTTGATGCCCCACCTCTGGCCGCTGCCCCTTCTCCGGGGCCTTCACTGTCTGGCATGTCTCACGCGGCCTCCCCGGTATCCTCCGCAGCGGCACCTCCTCTTGCTCCGCCTTCCCCGCGTGTCGAGCCCGGCTCACTTGTCTCCTATCTGAGGCGCCCAGTCCCTCCGATCCCACCGCAGTCCCCTTCGTCTCCGGTCTCTAGTCGCACTCATTCCAAGGGACCGGCTCCGCTTCTCGCCTGGGGACCAGCCGCCTTCTCTATCCGGTGTTCGGTCACCCCGCCTCCTCCTGCCGGGGGTGATGTCCCCTCTATCCCTATTCCCCCCCGTCCACTTCTGGAGGACATGCATGAAGAGTTGTTTGACGTTCACGCAGTCTACCAATTTCTCTCTCACATCTTTTCGGACATTACTGAGAGCCCTTCTCTCAACTTCACCAAGAACCCGACCATTCCGACTCATCGCACAAAAGAGGAAGCTCTCTCGGATCCTTATAAGGAGTGGAAGGCAGCAATGGATGTGGAGAACGAGGCATTCATTCGCAACAACAGCTTTGACGATGTCGTTCCCCCTTCCTGTGTTAACATCGTCGGTGGAAAATGGATCTTCCGAGTCAAACAACTCCCAAGTGAAGCTCCACTGTTCAAGGCACGATACGTGGTTAACGGTTTCACCCAGAAGGAGTATCTCAACTTCTTCGAAACCTTCTCGCCCACGGCCAAGCTCCCGACTGTTCGTGCTCTTCTTAGTATAGCCGCTCGCGACAACTTTGAGATCAAGTCCATGGACGCCTCCTCCGCCTTTCTCCAAGGCCAGCTCAAGGAGGATGTTCACATGGAACGCCCATCTGGGTTTCTTGGCACTTACCCTGTCAATACAGTGTGAAAGCTAAAGCGCCCAGTGTATGGCCTCAAGAAGGTTCCTCGTGAGTGGCATAACAAGGTGAAGGAAGTCCTCCTCGCACTTGACTTCTATCCCCTCGCCTCAGATTCCAGTCTCTTCGTTCGTCACTCCTCCGATTGCAACCTCGCCGACCTCTTTACCAAAACTCTCTGCAAGGCTGACCACCATCGCCTTCTCTGTTCCATGGGGCTATGTGCTCCTTGACTGGGTTTGCAGTCTATAGGGTTGTGTTAGAAATAGATTGTAAATCCCACTTTTGTATTTGTACTTTTATATCCTAGTTTAGGTTATGAATGTTCTAGTGGGTTGGAGTGTACTCACAAAATCCCAACCTCACCCAATTATGATCCCCCCAATCTCCAATTACCCAATTGGAGATTCCGGAGATGCGAGTGAGGATTCCCTCCGATTCCCCCTTCATCCATTCTCTCGCACCTTGCCATATACTTGTAGAGCCTTGGGCTCCTTAGTTAATCAACCATTTTCAGCTCTAATTCTTACAGGCACGAGATCGCCAGCAGCTGCGGCTGGGAAGAGGGGGAAATGCAGAGGAGGGGGGGGGGTGAGTCTTCGGCGGCGACGCCGGTTAGCGGGCCGCCCTTGTTGGCGAGTTGGCTGGCGTGCGAGCCAGTGCCTATCTTTTACGAGTAAATTACTATGATTCTCTGATTTTCATAGTTGATTTTGTGTACCACCCTTACGCCTCTGGGTAAAATTTTGAGATTATATGTTTTCTCTGATAAGCCAGGGTTTTCTTTTGTACCACCCTGAGGGGTTTACTGTAAGGGGGATACCCCCGGATTTTCTTGTACCCCCCTGTCCATACATTCCCCCTTGTTCACACAGACCATCGAGCTGGCCCACGTCCTATACCCCTGGATTTTCGTATTCCCCCCTGTTTACATACGTGGCCCCAAATCCCCGCCGTATTCACGCGGACCGCCGAGCTGGCCCACGCCACATGATGCATGTCTCGCCCTTGCTGGCAGATTCGATGATCCCTATAGGACACATGTTTTCCTCGCGCCTCCCTTTTTCCAAGCCCTTTCTAGCCCCACTCCCTTACTTTAGCCTCTCTCACAGCATTCGCATATCTTCGTTCCTCCTGTTAGTCGTTTTTTCAGCAAACGCCCTCTCTCATTACCAGGGTCCGCCATGCCTAGCGCGGTTGATCCCAATGACGGCGTCAGTAGTGGGAAGGATCTAGGCCCAACAACCCTCCTAGCATACTAGCAAAACATACCACACACATCACATGCTACGAGTGGCCGCCATTTCCGCCACTGCTGCCGCTACTACGAGTGACGCCAATTCTGTTGGCTGCTGCCGCCCATGGGACGATCGTCGCTACTACTGCTGTGCATAGTGGGATCGTAGCTGCTGCTGCTAAGTGACGGAACTTCCGCGTAGACTGCTGTTGTTAGTTGCGAGTGCCGCGATTTTTACTCATGTTGCTATATGTGACGAGATGAGATTGCCGTCACTGTTAAGGCAACCAGTGAGACGATTGTTGCTCACGTTGCTTATGTGTGTGTGACAGGATCGCCACCACCATTGTTGCTACTGTGGGTAACGAGTTCCTGCTGCTTGCTGCGGCGGCAGCGCAGGGTGAGATTGCATCACTTGCTACTACAGGTGACAAGTTTTTGCAGCTGCCGTAGTTACGAATGTCAATAATTTTAACTGCCTGCTGCGACTAGTGTATATAACATGATGCTAATGAGTGAATGAAGGAATATAATGCTATATTTTATTGCAAGAGCACCTGCCCCCCTAGATCCACGGTCTCTAATAACACACACTAGGACGAAATTAAGGCACTCTGACTTGTCAGAGTAAAAACCTCCAAAACGTATGGTTACCCTGATGCCTAAGGGTAAATGTGGAGGACCACTCTGGTTTTCAGAGTAGTGGAGAAAGTAACTTCCATATTTCAGAGTAGTGAAAATCCAAAGATCAGCACTGGTGCGGGCGTGGTGGCTGGCGCTAAACCAGCGCACTGGCCGTCTGTGCGTTGGCGCATCGAAGCCGTCAGGACAGCACGACGAGGCCACGGCAGCACAACGAGGCCGCCATGGCAGCGCGAAAGTGAGAGGGGAGATACGCTGCGGAAGCATGAGGAGTAGGCTCAGCAGGATCAACCTGCTCTGAAACCATCTCACAAGGGGTTTAGCTAGGTAGGAGAAATGGCGAGAGAAAAAAGGGGTCGACTAGTAAAGAGAGAGAAACAAGAACTAGGTTGTCCTAGCCTAGCCTACATATACATATATATAAATATATACGTTGACAGGGTATTGACAAGTTTTTTGTTACAGTGAATAAGGTCGAACCCAGTTTGCATATTTGGCGCATTTGGACCTAAATACTCATTGTGCTGAGTGTTTTGTTTGGTTGAATGCTTTTTGCACGGTATAGTCTTTTGTATGGAGAAACAAGAATGATATAGTAGTATGTCCTCTTTATTCGCATAATGAAGAGTACACCATTATCCCGTACCCAGGGCAGCAACCAGCAGGGACGCAGAACGGAACCTACGGATACTACTACTACGCCAGCATTTCTGGTTCCTGCTGTCTTGTTAGTAGCTGGGGGGCAGAATTGTTTTGTCAATTCATGATTCAAGCTCTCCCACTGCGTCTGCCTCGTCGCTGATAAGCCCTGCAGCTCGGTGGTGACCAACCAGCTGCACAGCGAGTAGTCGCAAAACAGTAGTAGCCATGGACGCCGACCAATCAAATCGCGAGGCAGATGCGTCGCAGGCGAATGCGTCGCAGAACGGCGTGGAAGCAGTAACGGATCACAGCGTCGGAGGCGGCGACGACGACGCGGCGGATGTGATTGTAATGGTGGACCCTCTCCGCGTGAAGCGAGTGCGGGAGATGGACGTCACGGGTAGCGAGGACCACGTGCTGTACGTGGCTTTAAGGCCTCTCGCCTCGTCCTCCCTCCATCCCCATAAAATCCCTCTCTCTCCCTGTATCCGACTCTCCCCCCTTCTCCCGTCCTCTCCGCCTACACCAGCTGGGAAAACTCAACGCACTCATACCCTTCCCCTTTCCCCCGTCCCCCTTACCTCCCCCGCGGCCTTTCCCCCAACCTTCCCCCCAGCATTTCCCCCGCCTTCCCGACCCCCGCCTTTCCATCCCCTTTCTTCCACGACCCCCGAAGGTTGAGCGCATGCCGGCCCTTACATGCTACCTTCCCCCGCGACCCCCCTGAAGACGAGCCATGCTGGCCCTGCTGGCCTAGCTCAACGCCCCCAACCCCCAACCCCCAACCTTCCCCCTTTTCGTGCCTCATCTCCCTATCCCTCACCCCCCTCACCCCCCTCTCCTTCCCTCTCCTTCCCTCTCCTTCCCTCTCCTTCCCTCTCCTTCCCTCTCCTTCCCTCTCCTTCCCTCTCCTTCCCTCTCCTTCCCTCTCCTTCCCTCTCCTTCCCTCTCCTTCCCTCTCCTTCCCTCTCCTTCCCTCTCCTTCCCTCTCCTTCCCTCTCCTTCCCTCTCCTTCCCTCTCCTTCCCTCTCCTTCCCTCTCCTTCCCTCTCCTTCCCTCTCCTTCCCTCTCCTTCCCTCTCCTTCCCTCTCCTTCCCTCTCCTTCCCTCTCCTTCCCTCTCCTTCCCTCTCCTTCCCTCTCCTTCCCCCATCGACCCCCCCAAAGAGGAGCGCATGCTGGCCCTACTCGCACAGCTCGACGCCTCTCCACTCTCCCTTGCGCTGGTTTCTCAACCCCAACCTCCGTCCTTCCGCTCTCTACTTCCCTCCCCCCAGCGACCCCCCGGAAGTTGCGCGCTTGCTGGCCCTTCTTGCACAGCTCAACGCCGCAGCTCATCCCCTCCCCGTTCCCCTCCCCTCCCCCACTGCACTCCCTCCCTCCCCTTCCCTTAGCGACCCCGCGCTGAGGATGAGCGCATGCTGGCGCTGCTGGCCCAGCTCAACACCGGCGCTCATCCCCCCCTTCCCCACCCCCCCTCGCCCCCCCCCCCCCCCCCCCTTCTCCCCCCTTCTCCCCTCCCTCCAGCGACCCCCCTGAAGGCGAGCGCATGCTGGCTCTCCTTGCCCAGCTGGACGCGGCGCGGGGGCGCGCTGCGCTGAGGAAGGGCGCACGGGGGCAGAAAAACGCGGCAGGGGGAAAGGGGGGGCGGAAACGGCGGAGCAGGGGGGAGGAGGACGGGGAGGGTGGGGGGGAGGGTGATGGGGAGGAGAAGGAGCAGGGCAGGGAGGGTAAGCAAGTTGGGAAGGGGGGAGGTGGGGGAGGTGAAGGGGGGGACGCAAGAGGGGGCACAGGGGGAGGAGTGGGAGGGAAGGCAGGAGGAGTGGGGGGAGCGGGGGGGAAGACAGTGGGAGAGGCACATGGGGAATGGGCGTGGCAGGGGGTGATGTCACAGCTGACTTCAGCTCAGGAGGAGCTGAGAGTGATTGTGGATCTGGTGAATGCGGTGGAGAGCGGTGCAGAGGGGCTGGCGGTGAGTGGGGTGTCGAAGCCGAAGCAGCATGCAGCAGAGATGAGCTCCGACCTTACTGCCAGGCTGGCAGGCAAACACCAGCTGCTGCAGGTGGGTTCAGTGCGATTGAGGGCGGTTTAGTGCGATGCAAAGGGTTTGCTGGTAAGTGGTTTATCCAAGGCCAAGCACCATGCAGCAGACATGAGCTCCGACCTCACTGCCAGGCTGGCAGGCAAACACCAATAGGCATGAGCGAAAGGCCCGGGCCCGGCCCGGCCCTGCCTGCCCGCCCCCGGGCCAAGGCCGGCCCGACCCCTAAACGCGGGCGCGGGCCAGGAAGTTCCCAACGTCGGCTCGACCATAAGCCAGGCCGATCAGAATGGGGCCGGGCCGGGCTGGGCCGAGCCTATGCTCATGCCTAAACACAAGCAGCTGCTGCTCTGCAGGTGGGTGGGTTCACTGCAGTTCAGTGCGATGGATAGCGATGCACTGCTCTTTTCTTGTGTTGACCCTTCTTTCTTCTCTTTGCTTGATTCTATTATGCTCCCTTTCCTGCCACCCCTCAGTCCTCCTGTCACACAGCAACAGTTGAGGCGATTCAGAAGCCATCCCATTGCGCCCCCCCTTGCTCTTCGTGTCTGGGCTCTATTGTCCTCCGTGCCAAGACAGGATGTGAGCTGTGGGTTGCTGCATGCAACAGCGCAGCTCGCCACCAGCAAGAGTTGAGGCAGCTCAGAAGCAATCGCGTTGCGCCCGCTCTTGCTATCCTCATCTGTGCTTCCCCGTCCCCTGTGTCAACACAGGATGTGGGCAGTGGCCCGGTGGGTTGCTGCACGCACGCAGCAGCGCAGCTCACCACCAGCAAGAGTTAAGGCGGCTCAAAAGCAATCCCGTTGCGCCCGCTCTTGCTGTCTTTGTCTGCACTCTTGCTGTCTTTCCTGTCAACACAGGATGTGGGCGGTGGGTTGCTGCACGCAGCAGCGCGTCTCACCCAGCAAGTGAGCGACGACGCACCGTTCTACACCGCACTGCAGTAGTGAGCACCACGTTAGAGCTGTATGGCTAGTCACGTGCAGTGTGCATGCATGACTCCTTCAGGTATCATCCCACCATCCTTCTCCCCCTTCCTTTCCTCTCCCACCCCTCCTGTCGTCCGCCTCACCTTCTATCTACTGCCTACCACCATCCCCTTCCCCCCCCTCTCCTCCCGTTTGCCGAACCCCTCTCCACCTCCCCCTCCTCTACTGCTGCTGCTAGACCGTCCTCCTTTCCTTCCCTCATCCGCCCGCCCTCTCTCCCAACCGTCTCTTTTCCATCATCTCTCGCCCGTCTCGCCCCTCCTAACCCCCCTCCTCCCCACCTCCCTCACAGGGTTCAGCACAGGTGGAAGATCAAGTGCACCCACCATGCCCTCGCCCCTCCTGCTGTCTCACATCGTCTTCTGTCCACTGCCCCCATACCATGCCCCTGCCGTTGTTTTCCATCCATCCTCAGCACGTGAGGAAGGTCAAGTGCACCCATCTTACCCTCGTCGCTCCTCCAACCCCCCTCTCTGGCTCCTCCTTCTTTCCTCTGCTGACTTCTCTGCTGGCATTAACCCTCTCCCCCCCATTCCCCAACGCCCTTCTCTCCTTGCAGCATTCAGCACAGGTGGAAGGTCAAGCGCACCCACCCTGCCCTCGCCGCTCCTCCAACCCCCCTCTCCTCCTCCTCTTCCACTGCTGCTGGTTTTGCTGCTGACGTCACTGTGCAGTCGCTCCTCCTCTCCCTCCCTCACTCGCTCCCCCTACCTGCCAGCATGCCTGTCATACCCGCTACAAGCCTCCCCTTTACCTCGTTAAGACTCGATAGGGACAAGCAGGGGATGCTCCGTGCTGCTTCGCCTGAGGGCCAGCCAATCAGGAAGCTCCACGTCAGCTTGTTTGGGAGGGAAGCGAATGATGATGAGGTTGGGGAGGACGGTGGTGGTAGTGGTGGGGGAGAGGGGGGGGAGGGGGGAGTTGAGAAGGAAGGGAGAGTGGAGGAGGAGAGTGGGGATGGAGGGATGAAGGAAAGAGAGAGTGGTGGAGGGATGGACGAGGAGAAGGAGAGTGAGGAGGAGGGGGATGTGGGGAGGGCGGTACGTAAGGCGCATCAGCTGCTGAGGGCAGTGCAGCGGTCGTGGTTTGACTGGCAGGTAGGTAGCTACTGCAGCGGTTACAGCAGATGTTACAAGGTTCTTTAATTCAAAAGTCCGTATCCGATGAACGTACAACGGGTTTGGACTCGTCAACATTCGAGGCTCGAAAGACAGACTACAAAGTTGCAAAATTTGCAAGCTGTATTTGGCAACCTGTCAAGGGCACAACTAGACATGGGCAGATTAAATCGCATCGCATCGCTTTTAATCGCGTTTTTGCGATTGCGATGTTTTTTTTGTGGGTTTTTTTTTTTTTGGTGCGTTTTTCTTTGTGTGTTTTCTTGTTTCTTTTTTGTGTGTGTGTGTGTTTTTTTTTTTTTTTTTTTTTGTTGAATTCATCGCGCGATGCGAAGTTTTTTACCGCGCGATTAAATTTAAATCGCGTTTTAATCGCGCTGAAAATCGCGATTAAAATGGGATTTGCGATATTTTTTTTGGCGCGCAATTTCGAAATACCACGGGGGCTCGCACCTGTCCTAAACCCAATACTGAACCGAATTATTTATCTAAACTACCGCCATCGACTGCCCTTGATCCAAATTCCCATCGGTGTTGGTTTTTTTAATCCGGTTTTGTGAGGTGTTTTTTAATTGAAGTAAAATGCGATGCGATTTTAAATCGCATTGCGCGATTTAAATAAACATCGCATGCGGTTTATATAAACATTGCGCCCAAAATGCGATGTGCGATTTTTATTTTTTATTTTTCACGAAATTAAATCGCGGGATGCGATTTTAAATCGCATCGCATTTTTTTAAATCGCACCCCTGTGCTGTGCGATGCGATTTAAATCGCAATCGCATTTTGATCATGTCTAGGCACAACGCGGTGCGTCCGCGGGGACGTCCACAGTCCACAGACGATCAAGCAGCATCGCCGCTGTTCGTTCAGGCCGTGCGACGACCGCGAATTGACGCGGCGCGTCTGACGAAACCAACGTTTACGAGTCATCACTCATTACCAACCGCTTCCGAGTGCACGGAAATTCTGATAATCGCACGTTATGAATGGCACGTGTGCCGTCAAGCTTTACGTCAAGTTCGGACGTTGGTCTGGCAGTTTCGAGCGCGCTCGAACGAGCCCTTTTTGTTTAGCGGGACGAACCTGGATGTGACATAAAATCTCAAAGGTATTCGCGAATCTATTCGCTAAATTCGCTGATCCGGTGACCAGCTAAAATTGCATACCTTCATCCCGATACGTTCAAAATGTCATGCGCCCTTACAGCAGGGATAACATCAGGCATAATCTCAGGTGTTATCATCACAGGTGCCCATCACGCCAGTACATCAGCAGCAGCAGCCCCCATCAACCTCCCCCATCAACCTCCCCCATCAACGCTATTTTGCTATGTAGCCTCTGTGACCCCTTCTGTCTGACGTATTGCCTTCCTCTGAAATCGTTCCTCCTCCCCGCAGTACATCAGCATCCATCTACTCCATTCTGCCATATGTAGTCGCATGTAGCCCCTGTGACCTCTTTCGTCTGACATCTAGCTTTCCTTGGAAATTGTTCCTCCTCCCTCGCTCCTCCCTCGCCCCTCTCGTAGCTTTGCGTCACCCGAACCACAACCCATGATCCCTTAACCCCATGAACCCTTAACCCCACGAACCCTTAACCCCATGAACCCTTAACCCTATGCCGTAAACCGTATGCCGTAAACCGTATGCCATAAACCGTATGCCGTAAACCGTATGCCTTCAACCCTTAACCTTATACCTGAAACCCTGACCCCCTCACTCTCCACTCCACTTCCCTCCGTCACTCCCACCCTATTTCCCGCTTCGTCCCTGACTTCATTCCCATTCCCCTCCCACCCCAAAACCTTGCTCCTACCCCACCTTGCTCGCAGAAACAACTGCCAGTTCTTTCCATCTCCCTCACGCTCGTCTTCCCTCACTCCCCTTCCACCCACTTCCCCATGTCCATTCCACACCCCTTTCAGCCATTCCACACCCCTTTCAGCCATTCCACACCCCTTTCAGCCATTCCACACCCCTTTCAGCCATTCCACACCCCTTTCAGCCATTCCTGTCTCTCCATTGCGACCTCCCTGCAGCAACTGCCGCCTCTCTCCCTTCTATCCCCTCGTTTTGTTTCCTCCTTTGCTTACCGTGTTCACTCTCCTTCTCCCTTCCCTCCAGTATCCCTCTCCCTCCTTTGCTTACCGTGTCCACTTCCCACTTCCTCCCCCCCTCTTCCGCTCTCATCGCCCTTGTTATTCCTATCCTAACAGCTATTCGAGTCTCTCCAGGGTGACCTCACAGCAGCAACTGCCGTCTCTCTCCCCCTCACCTCCATCTCCTCCTCCTCTCTCTCCCTCTCCCTCGCCTCCTCCCCTGCCTCGCTCTCGCTCCACCTCCTCTCCCCCCCGTCCCCCCCTGCTCTCTGGTCCTCTCTGACCCAGCACACCCTCAATCGCCGTCACTATCGGTTGCAGCTTAAAGGGGGGAAGCAGCAGCAGCAGCAGGGGCAGGGTAAGGGGCAGCTGCAGCAGAGGCATTGGCATGACAGGGAAGCCTTTGGAAAATTCATGGACCGGGCAGAGTCGGCAGCTGGGAGGGTGTACCTGGGGGAGGCTTATCTGCTGCTCCAGCAGCAGGCACAGGAAAGAGTGAGGAAGCTTCGTTGGCAACTGTTAGATGCAGAGATTGAAGGGGAAGGGGAATGGGAGGAGGAGAGAGAAGGGGGAGGGGGGGAGCGGGCATAAGGGGAGAGGGAGGGGGAGAGCGGGGGGAAGCGCGGGTGAGGGCAGCAGGGGGGCTGAAGTGGTGGGGGAGGAGTGAGGCGGGGGGAGGGGGGGGAGGGGTTGGGGGCCCAGGGGGAAGTGGGCGGAAGGCGTCGGGATGGGGGTGGGCGGGTGGAGGGGGGGGAGGGGGTGGTAGTGCTGCTGCTGCTGCTTCTGGTGGTGGCGGTGGTGGTGCTGGTGCTGGTGCTAGTGCTGGCGGTGGGAGCGGTGTGGGGATGGGGGTGGGTGTAGTGGAGCTCTTGTGGGGGGCTGCAGCGCACAGAGCAAAGAGGAGAGCGGTTGAACGATGCCTTCAACGCATGGTATGGCGTCAACTGTATGGTTCGGTGTGTGGTGTGTGCCTTTCTAGGCGCCTCAAACATCCTGTAGGGGGCTGCAGCGCACAGAGCAAAGAGAATGGCTGCATGGTGTGGCGAAGGTTGTGTGGTGTAGCCTGCATATGTTTTTTTCCTGTGGGGGGCTGCGGCGGACAGAGAAAAGAGGAGAGCGGTAGAAATCTCTTTCGACGACAGGGTCTGGCGTAGTAGAATGTATGGTGCTGCGTATGGTGCTGCGTATGGTGCGGTGTATGGTGCGGTGTATGGTGCGGTGTATGGTGCGGTGTATGGTGCGGTGTATGGTGCGGTGTATGGTGCGGTGTATGGTGCGGTGTATGGTGCTGCGTATGGTGCTGCGTATGGTGCGGTGTATGGTGCGGTGTATGGTGCGGTGTATGGTGCGGTGTATGGTGCGGTGTATGGTGCGGTGTATGGTGCGGTGTATGGTGCGGTGTATGGTGCGGTGTATGGTGCGGTGTATGGTGCGGTGTATGGTGCGGTGTATGGTGCGGTGTATGGTGCGGTGTATGGTGCTGCGTATGGTGCTGCGTATGGTGCGGTGTATGGTGCGGTGTATGGTGCGGTGTATGGTGTGGTGTATGGTGCGGTGTATGGTGCGGTGTATGGTGCGGTGTATGGTGCGGTGTATGGTGCGGTGTATGGTGCGGTGTATGGTGCGGTGTATGGTGCGGTGGGTGGTGTGGTGTATGGTGCGGTGTATGGTGCGGTGTGTGGTGTGGTGTATGGTGCGGTGTGTGGTGCGTGTGTTGTGTGCCTTTTTAGGCGCCTCAAATATCCTGTGTGGGGCTGCAGCACACAGAGAAAAAGAGGGGGGCAGAAGAGGGATGTCTTCACTGCATAGTTTGGTTCGGTGTTGGCTGTGAGGCGTGGCATCGCATGTGCTGTGAGGCCTGGCATTGCATGCGCTGCGTGGGGGAACAGAGAAAAGAGGAAGGCGGTAGGGCAGTGTCTTCACTGCATGGCATGGCGTCAGGTGTATGGTGCTATCATATGCCTTGTTAGGCGCCTCAAAAATCTTGTGGGGGGTTGTCACAGAGCAAAAGAAGAGCCGTTAAACGATATATCTACCACATAGTATAGCGTAGAGTGTACAGTGCGCATGCATATGACTTTTAGGAACCTCATAATCCCCTGATTCTTTACCCCCTCTACCTATGACTTCACACCTCTACCTATGACTTCACACCTCTACCTATGACTTCACACCTCTACCTATGACTTCACACCTCTACCTATGACTTCACACCTCTACCTATGACTTCACACCTCTACCTATGACTTCACACCTCTACCTATGACTTCACACCTCTACCTATGACTTCACACCTCTACCTATGACTTCACACCTCTACCCCCGTCTCCCTTTCATTGTGTCCCCGATACCCGCCCCCCTTCCCCTCCCCCCACGGGTCTCAGCCGCATCTTTGCCCGCACCTGAGGCTCTCATCCCCCGCCACACATCCCCCACCATCGTTGCATGGACTGTCTCCTTCGACACCATGTCTTCCCCATGCCTTTGTCCCGCTCTCTCCCCTCTTTCCATCTCCACCCGTCTCTCCCACCCAAGGTGCAAAAAAACGGCGCTATTTTAAAAAAATCAAAATCCATAGGGTACGGTACCGAATCTTTCAGCCGTATAATACGATTAACTATCAGAAGTGCCGTTTTGAGGGTGATGCAAAAAAACGGCCGTTTTTTTGGCCCTTTTTTTTAACCAGCTGGAATACATGGCCGGAAACCACGTTTTTACCGTCGAAATGCGGGGATCTGGCGTTTGGGCCAGCGAAATGCGCGGATCTGGCATCTCGCCAGCAGAAATGCACGGTACTCGCATTTCGCCTGCCGAAATGCGCGGACCTGCCAAAAAGAAAAAAATGGCGTTTTTTTTTTTTTTTTTTTTTTTTTTTTTTTCCAGAAAATGGCAGAAAAATACGGTCGTATTTTATGGCCCATATAATATGATTACCGTATTTCTGCACCGTCTCGGGTGTGTCTTTGCCCGCACCTGAGCCTCTCAACCCCCGCCAGTCTCACGCCAGCATCGCTGCATAAACCCTCTCATTCCAATCTCTCTCTCTCTCTCTGTGACCCTCTCATTCCTCTCCATGCCCTCTCTTTTCCATTCCTCTCTACATGTCCCCCCATACCCCTGCCTCCTGCCTCTCTGCATGTCCCCCCATACCCCGTGCCTCTCTGCATGTCCCCCCATACCCGTGCCTCTCTGCATGTCCCCCCATACCCGTGCCTCTCTGCATGTCCCCCCATACCCGTGCCTCTCTGCATGTCCCCCCATACCCGTGCCTCTCTGCATGTCCCCCCATACCCGTGCCTCTCTGCATGTCCCCCCATACCCGTGCCTCTCTGCATGTCCCCCCATACCCGTGCCTCTCTGCATGTCCCCCCATACCCGTGCCTCTCTGCATGTCCCCCCATACCCGTGCCTCTCTGCATGTCCCCCCATACCCCTGCCCTTCCTGTACTGCAGGTGCGTTTTTGCCCGCACCTGAGGCTCTCATCCCACACCACTCTGCAGCCCTCCATAGCTGCATGGACCATCTCCTTCCACTCTCCCCCATCAAGCCCTGTGAAGTATTGTGACCGCGTGGAGAGGGGAGAGTTAGGTGCAGGGGAGAACATTATGGGGGAAGTGGGGGAGGGAAGAGGGGCTGGGGACCTGGCAGGGGGAGGGGGTGGAGGGAGGAGGGAAGGAGAGGGGGAGAAGAAGGGAGGCGCAGAGAAGGGGGGAGGAACAGCAGTGGCTGAGGGGGGAGGAACAGCAGTGGCTGGGGGTGAAGGTGGGGGCAATACGGCAGGGGCAGCAGCAGCTGTCGAAGCAGCTCAAGGCAGGGCGGCAGAAGAACCAGATGAAGCAACAGCACCAGGTGCCAAGCCACCTGCCGTTTCACCTGACGATTCCTTGCACGGCAAGGTGGCAAGAGACGTTGGCGAAGGTCCGAATGTTGGGGACAGTGCGCTTGGGACTGCTGATGATACTGCTGCTACTGCTGGTGGCAGTGCGCTCCGGACTGCAGCGGACGCTTCTACTGCAGCTGGCGGTGCGCTCGGGACTGCTGCAGGAGTGGGGCAGCAGTTGCATGGGGAGAAGGGAAGTGAGGGCACGGAGAGAAGCAAAAGGGTAAGGAATGAGGAGTGGAGAGGGGGTGATGCAGGGGAGAGTGTGTGGGAGGTGACAGTGCAACAGACAGATGTGGAGCTATCTATTGTGGTGACTGGCACAGCAAGAGGCGGGAATAATACACTCCCTCGCCAGTTTATGCCCTCTCATCCCATGCCCTCTCACCCCATGGTCTCTAACCTCAAGTGCTCACTCCCTCTCTCTCTCCCCACGGTGCTTCCCTCACTGTCGGACCTCTCCTCTCTCCTCCTCAACCACGTGGCTTCAACATGCATCGCCGCCCTCTTAGCTCACGCCCACTCCCTCTCCCTTCCCGCCTCTGCCTCCCCCTTCTCCCTCTCCTTCTCCACCACATGCCACCGCTCTGAACCACATCAAAGTACGAGCAGTGTCACTTCCATTCCCAGTCAAGATACTGGTACGTGCTGCTTGCTGGCGGTGCCTGACTCTGCAGCCAGCTGCGTGCTCTGGTGGATGGCACCCAGAGAACAGGCCCTAGCGGCTCTGGAGGTGCGTGCGAGTGCAGCGGAGACGGGAGGGAGTGCGAGCACAGGGACAGAGGGAGCAAGACGGCAGAAGGATAAGCTGGTGGAGGGGAGTGAGGTGTTACTGGGGGCCTTGGGAGTTGAGCAGCTCAGGGATATCATCACAAGGGTAGCCCTTAGATAGGATACAGGTGTAATAATTTGTAGAATGGTGCAGAAGACTTGCAGGAGACCAAGTATAGAATCTGCTTGAGTCAAGACTTGGGAGCAGTTGCAGTAGTGCGCTCGAACAGATACATCGCGGAATAGGTACTTCTAGCAGATATAAAAGTAGCTTGTACAACTTCAATTATCAACTTGAAATTCAGTAAATTCTGGTCAACACTTTACAAGTTCTAAGACTTCCGCTATCTTGCTAGTCTACCGTTCCAACAAAGATCCTTGGTGAAGTCTTGAAGTATCGCGAGGCTGTAACACTGACTCTGGTGTTACCGTAATCCCCCGTATACAACACCCGCCGAAATAGTCACTCCACGGGTGGTTTATGTTAGAATGCAAGAATGATTACTAGGTGGAGATTACAGCCAGGGTTCCTGTTAGCAGACGAAATCCGTCTGTTCATCTGAGAATCAGACTCACTTTTCCCGTGTCATCTGATTTTTTGACAGCCAGTAATTTTTCATCTGAACGACCATCTTAGTTATATAAATCCTTCTGAATTCTCAGACTTGGTGTAGGCGGTCGTCTGCATTTTCAGATAGCGCATAAATTCCCGTCTGAGCGTGTTCCTACGTTGGTACTTAGCCTCTGATCTGACTCACAATCTGAGCTGAGGCGAGTGGGTGCAAAAATATCTTAGTAGATAAGTCTGGCCACAAGCGCTGGAAGCCACTACTGTGTAGCCAATCGAAATTGTTGCGAACGGGGTTCTACTGAAACATCTGATGCGACAGATGTGTGCTGCGCAACTATTGGTGCTGCGAAAATCAACTCCGACAGCAACAGACGTGCCGAGCGAGTGCAACAGCAAGCTAGCTGACCTGTTCCGTACAGTGCACCAAGGCCTCGCGTGGATTCGATCGTGGGGCAGGCACGCAATCTTCGTGAATATGCACCGGTCACAATGTTCAAGTTGCTTATGGTTCATTCTACGACTGGCTGGTCGCAAGCAGCGACCGCCACAGTTCGCGACGAGCGAAAGTTGGATGGATCTCCCCGTTGTAATACAGCAGGATCTACTCAGGCTTTGCCTAAGTTCGATCCTACTTTGGTGTAGATCCTACCTCGTAAGAATACGCCCTAACCCTAAGCTAAGAGGGCCCTAGGAACACGCTGATACCGATGAAGCACCCACTACATGCCCATGGGCCACTCGGCCACCTGTGTCATCGGGCCTCAAACCTGCCACGCGAGAAAAAAATTGCCGCAGGGCGCGTCATCACCCCAGTTCTGTACTGTAGATTATTGTGAAGTTTTTTTTTTCATCTAGAAGATCAGATGATGCTGGACTATTCGTCTGAAAATCCAGACCAGCCGAGGTAGCTCGTCTGACGGTCAAACGAAATTTTGAAACCCTATCTGATTCTCAGACAATCCTAAAACTTAGCAGGAACTCTGATTACAGCACATATAGCAGTTGGGGTTGTACTCACTAGGAACACACATCTACACTAGCCTATAACTTCTACATGCAACACATGTATAAGTTGATACACCCTCTAGGCTAGAGGAGAGGCGGTGCTAAGGAATACGCACACAGCTCAGGGCGACACTACTAGTCTAGCCACTGAGACAGGGGTCCAGAGACCGGTCAACAGGAGTACAGACAAGACAAGAGCAAGCCAGGGCGGCACTACTAGTCTAGCCATTGGAGAAAAGGCCACAAGGCCAGTCTGACAGATATATATAGTAAGGAGTACACAATCAAGGTCCTAGCAAGTGAGTAGCTACAGGAACAAGACCAAGCTGTACACAGTGCCGTTGATGAACTTTAGGCGCAAGCGCCTTAGTAAAGATATCAGCTGTGTTGGCACCGGAGGCCAAGTGAACTATGCGGGCCTGGCAACGCTATTGTAGCTCGCGCAGGAGGAAGTACCGCAGCTAGATATGCTTCGCTCTGCCCTCAAGTCGAGGCTCCTGACATAGGAGGATCATAGCCCTGTTGTCAGCGTACAGGACCGGGGCAGAGCTAGGCCGCTCACCTAAGTCAGTGAGCAAGAAGGTCAGCCAGCGGAGCTCCTGTGCTGACATGGCACCAGCGTAGATCTCAGCCTCACAGCTGGACTGAGCCACAGACGACGAGCGAGTAGACCGCCACGAGATAGCACCGGACCTAAGGCTAAAGCAGTAGCCCTGAAACGACCGGAGAGTCTCAGCGTCGTCTGCCCAGGAAGCGTCTGTGTGCCCAGTAAGGACCACTGGTCTGCGTCCACCAAGCACTAACCCCATGCCCGATGTACTTGCGAGATATCGCAAAACCCTCTTAGCTGCCGACCAGTGCTGAGGTCGGTGTCTGCCAGTGGCCACAAAGCGAGCCAGGATGCTGAGAGGGTATGCGAGATCTGGACAAGTGCAAGTCATCAAGTACATGAGGCAACCCACCAGCTCTGCGTAAGGGCCGCTGGGCTCTACTGGCTCCTCAGGAACGGGGGCCGAGAGCCCATGGTCTACAGGTAGAGGTGTGGGCTGTGCTGAGGAGAACTGAAGGCCAAACCTCTGAAGGACCTGACGCACCAAGTGTGACTGAGTCTGTCACATGATCGAATGTGTCGAGGAAAGGTTGCACTATCGATCAGTACAAGGCGCTTTTATACTTCCAAAGTACATCAGGTAACCAGGTTTATCTTATCCTAAGGAAATAGACCCTTCTAGAAGATAGAATCACCATGCGTATAGCCACGCGAGGCTATTGGCTTTAAGGGATTACGACAGGATTACGCCAGATAGCGCACCAGTACATCCCAAGCCTGGTCGGTGATATAATTATAATAGCAGGATAAACCAAAGGTTAATGGAAAATGGAGAATAGGAAACCAAATGAGATGAGATAAAAGAAGGAATGAAAATAGGAAGGAAAGAGGAGAAGGAACAAGTGGTGTAACGGGGTCGTACTCTCACACTTCCCCCCCTCAAAGCTGGGTGGTAGAAGTAACACCCTGCTTGACAAGGTAGTCATGTAGAGGACGACGGGCGTTACCCATGGCGGTCTCACGTACCCAGCTATCCTCAGAAGGATCAGAACCCTTCCAACGAATGAGAAGCTCCACGGCGCCATTCCGACGACGGAGGATCTGCTAGCACGGACTCGATTTCGTACTCTGGTTCATTCTGGACGAGGACAGGCGGCGGCGGCGGCGGTTGGCGTCCGACGAATATCGTGTTCAGATCCTGATAGGGCTTCAGAAGTTGGACATGGAAGGCATTGTGAATCTTCCAGGTAGCTGGCAGGCGTAAGCGGAAGGTAACAGGAGTGTCCTGTGCTTTAACAGGAAAAGGCCCGCAGAAGCGAGGTCGAAGTTTAGATGGAAGGTGTTGCTCGGAACTGCGGTAACTCCTTCACGTTCTCAGGTGTCTTCCACGTACGCATGGCTTCTATTTTCTTGGGGTCGACGTGAACTCCTTGAAGCGCTCACCATGTGTCCTAGGAACTGGACCTTCTCAAGGGCGAATTCGCTCTTGGACAGTTTGACGTAGAACCGTTCCCGTCGAAGAATTTCGAAGATGCGTCGCAGGTGTTCGACGTGCTGCTTCATGTTGCGCGAGTAGATGAGGATGTTGTCCAGGTACACCACCACACACTCGTCCAAAAGTGGTCGGAGAATGTGGTTCATTTCGGCTTGGGACGTTGCCAGTGCGTTGGTGAGTCCGAACGGCATTACCAAATACTTGTACGATCCATACCGATTTCGGAAAGCAGTTTTGTGGATAGAGTTGTCCGCCATCCGTATCTGCCAGTATCCGGACCGCAGATCCAGTTTGGAAAATACCGTAGCTCCCCGAAGCTGGTCAAGCAGGTCATCGATTCGTGGTATCGGATATTTATTCTTGATGGTCTGCTTGTTAAGAGCTCGGCAGTCGATGCACATGCGCAGGCTTCCGTCCGGTTTCGGTGTAAAGAGTACTGGGGCACCGCATGGCGAAGTGGATGGTCGGATGAGTCCTTTGGCTAGGAGATACTCGATCTGTTTTTTCATATCGGTCAGCTCCGTAGGGCTGAGCCAATATGGTGCTCGGAAGGTCGGCTTCGAACCCGGTTCCTCCACGATCTCGTGTTGATGTCTGCGGTATAGCGGTAGCTCGTTCAAAAGATCGTCAGGAAGATGTCTTGGAACTCCTTCAATAATTCCTTGATTTTTCCCGGAGGTTCCGAGGTCTTCTCTCCGTCATTCTCCACCTCTGTTGCTATCGCCAGGAACTCGGTGTCGGTTCGCTTCACGTCCTTCTCGAATCGTGCGAGTGTCTCCACTGGGATATCTCCTGTATCGTCCCAGTTGGGTAGCTGTACTCTCCGTCCATTGTTGTAGATGCTTGCGGTGCGGTTCACCCAGTTGATCTCAGGGTTGAATTTCTTGAGGAAGTCTTGCCTGAAGATCAGGTCAAGCCCTTTTATGTTGGTGATGGGGAGAGCAGGTTTCCAGCGCAGTCGACCGATTTGTAGGTGTAGCACTGCTTCGCCGTATACTGGTAACTTGCTGCCGTCCACCATCGTTGCAAAAAATGTTGATGGCTTGTACTCTTCTTGAAGTCGGTCGATGGTTGCCTTGTCGCATACAGTGTGGGATGCTCCACTGTCCACGAGTGCTTGGAGGCGTCGTCCTTTGCAGATGACCTCGAGCACGAGGGGCAGGCGTTGCTCGGAGTACCCAAAGATAGTTTCACTGATTGGGTCATAGGGTACATCCCAATATTCCGTACACATCTTTGTGTTGCTATCTACTCTTGAGCTGGCAGCTGGACGAGGCTGCTTGGAGAACGGCTCTTCTCCAGGGCCCGGAGTTTCTTTGACGACTGTACGTGTCATTGATGCCGAAGAACTGGATGCATCCATAGGAGGAGTTCGGGGTTTGTGCAGTTTCTTGTAGACCCCCAGCTTCCTCTTGAGCTGCTTCAGCTCCACCGACGTCTTCCTTGGGGAACGGGTAGTCGTTGTGGGCTGGTGTCGGGAGAGGACGTTGACTCCGTGAAAAGGTCGGCTTCTTTCCACACTCCTTAATTTGGTCCCCAAGTTCTCCAGTACCGGTACGATCTCCATAATTTTCTGCTTCTTCTGGAGTCCCTCCCGTAATTTCTCCAAGGCTCTAGCCCCTCGAGAATTACAAGTTTTCGTTAAAGCATCTTTGTAAGATAACTTTAACGAATCCTTATAATTTCTTCGGTCTTCAAGGAGTTTCCCCGTCTCGGGCAGAGTCCTTTTTCACGGAGTTATATGTTTGGTCGTGGGGTGGAGTCCTTCCTCGGCGATTTCCTCTGGTAAAGACTGGTCGTGGGGTGGAGATTTTTCCCCATCATTTTCTCGTGTTCGCGTCGAATCAGCTGCGTCATAGTTGATTTTCTCGAAATCCCGCGGCCGTTTTCGGATCTTTTATTTTTCGCCAACTAGATCCGCGATCACTGGCGAGCTCCATTTTTTGGCTTTTGATTGGCCGAAGGATTTCCGCCACTGTTGCGTGCCCGATACTCAGCGCGTGCGGCTTTCATTTTGTTGCGGTCGAAGATTCGATGACCCGGCACCCCGCAAAAATCACACGTGTAGTTGGTTTTTTTTCGGACGTGGCCACCCCTCGAACCTGTCGACTTCCATCGGGTCGGCGAACGTGGTGTGAGCCGAGCGGTCGCCCTGTCGCGTACTGCCGACGTGCGTCCGTCGTGTCCCGGCGTTGACCATGTCGAAGCGCTCCGCTGCCGAAACGACGTCACCGTAGCTCGCGTAGTTTGTCGCTGCCACTTGTCGTTTGACTTCGGTCTTCAGCCCAGCGAGGTATGACTGTACTTTTTCCCCTTCGGTCAGGTCGGGAATGCGGTTATAAAATTCCTCCATCTGCTGCGTGTACTGCGCTATACTCTCGAACTGTCGATGGCGATGATTTTTTTCGCGGGCAAGGAAACCCCAATTTATTGGCACGAAAAGTTTGAGCAGGTCGGTGCGGAACTGCTGCCACGTGGCTTCGCCGTGGATGAAGGTGCTGTTGCCGCCAATCCACTCGAGTGCCGGCCCTCGCATCAGTGTTGCCGCGAGTCGTACGCGTTGTCCGTCCCAGACTGGCGAGCTCCATCCGACGGCTGCGAAGTAGATCTCCATTCCGGCGATCCATCTGCGGACGTCGGAGTTTCGATCGCTCAGATCGAACGGCTCAGGTGGGCGCGGTTTCGGAGCCTCGGGAAACTGCTGCGACTGCTGCGTCGTCGCCGTTGTCGTTTCGTGTTGCGCTCCGGCGAGTCGAGTTACTCGCTCGAGCTCGTTTCGCCACGCTGCGCGGTCCGCTCGCATCTCCTCCTGAAGGGCTGCGATGCGCGCGAAAAGCTGCTGGGTAACTTCGGCGTTGTCGAAGTTCGTCATCCTATTCAAAAACACGCGCGGAGCGGGTAATTCGAAAAAAACGCGGAGCTGGTGCTTACCAGAATCGGCGTCGAATTGGTCGCCCCCGGCGGTTTTTCGAGGCAGGATCCCCCGTTGCTGCTGCTTAGCTGAGCGCGGTCGAGTAAGAAAAGCTCTGATTACAAAGTGTCACAGGATCGAATGTGTCGAGGAAAGGTTGCACTATCGATCAGTACAAGGCACTTTAATACTTCCAAAGTACATCAGGTAACCAGGTTTATCTTATCCTAAGGGAATAGACCCTTGTAGAAGATAGAATCACCCTGCGTATAGCCACACAAGGCTATTGGCTTTAAGGGATTACGGCAGGATTACGTCAGATAGCGCACCAGTACATCCCAAGCCTGGTCGGTGATATAATTATAATAGCAGGCTAAACCAAAGGTTAATGGAAAATGAAGAATAGGAAACCAAATGAGATGAGATAAAATAAGGAATGAAAATAGGAAGGAAAGAGGAGAAGGAAAAAGTGGTGTAACGGGGTCGTATTCTCACAGAGTCAGAGTGATGGTGCGTGCTGCTCTGTCCCTGGAGATCTGCAGGCCAAGATAGCGACGCAGCTCTCCTAGATCAGTGTAGGTGTGTCTCTTCAGCAGCTCGGCCTTCACCGAGGCCAGTGCGTCCCTGTCAGCAGTAGCAAACACCATGCCGTCTACGTAAACGAGGATGTAGAACAAAGTCTGGCTGGAACGAACGAAAAGCGAAGGGTCAGCAGACGACGGAAAGAACTGCAGGTCTGCTAGAATGGCACGCAGCGTGTCGTGCCACTCGCGGGGAGCCTGGCGCAGGCCGTAGACCGGGCGCCTGAGAAGCCACTGGGTCCCAGGAGGGAAGGTACCCGTGAAGCCCTGTGGTCGACGCAGGTAGACCTGCTCTTGTAGGCTGCCCTGAAGAAAGGCAGTAGAAAAGTCAAGCGAGTGAAGCTCGTAGTCGCGCTGTGCTGCTACGTGTAACAGCGCCCGAAGAGTAGTCATCTTCGGGGTCGGGGCGAAGGTATGGAAGAAGTCCACCCCCTCACGCTGGCTGAAGCCTCTAGCCACGTATCTCGCCTTGAAGACAGGCGGCTCTCCTGGGGGGCGCTTCACCTTGAAGAGCCACTGACCATCGACTATGTTCACCCCAGGGGGGGGAACTGCGTCGTCGTAAGTGCCGGTGGACCTCCAAGATGCCATCTCCTGCTCCATGGCAGCTACCCACTGAGAGGCCCAAGGTCCCGAGGTGGCCTCAGCGTAAGTGCGAGGGGTCGGGATGTCGAAGGCATTTGGGTCACCCTCAGGGACTAGAAGCATGGAGCAGAGATGGGGAGCAGCCTCGAAAAGGAAAGCAAGCTCGTACTGCCTGTCCTCTAGAACGTCACTGCCAAGGGCAGGTGCACCCTCGACGGACGGAGGACGGGCAGGGTCAGAGACCAGGGCGGTAGTGTGTCAAGGCGGCGGGTAGAGGCGAAGTCAGCGACAGCAGCGACAATCGCGGCAAGGCAGGAGACAGGAACAGACGGGTCTGTAACAAGAGAAGCAAGAACCCGAGGGACAAGGGGACAAGCGGCACGGAAGTAGTCAGACAGCGGAGGAGGGGCAACAACAAGCGACGAGGGAGGAGGCGACGGGAGGAGGGGAGGATGAGACGAGTGGGAACAGAGCAACATAGGGTGGGAGCGCAGGACAGGAGAGACGGGGCGAGCACGTGAGGGACGGCGAGACCAAACGTGGGACGGAGGGGTAGGGTCAGGAGACAGCGGAGGGGACACAAGAGGGGAACGAGGAGGAAGACGTGCCGGAGACGAGTCCGGCGGCGGGAACACAGGGCCGTAGACCGGAAGGTGAGGAGGTGGCGGGGGAGACACCGGCGAGCGGTCAGGGGAGGGAAGGCCGAGCAGGCAAAGAGCGGAGACCGGCTGCGACGGCTGCGACGATGGCTTGTGCCCGACCCCCGGACCGGCAGAGGCACGACGACCGCCGGGAGAACACTCAATGACAACACCCCCAGAACCAACACCCCCATAGCAAGAACTCCCTCCAGCACCGCGGTCTCCCCGTGCTGTGTCTCCACTCCGACCGTGATACCATGTTAGAATGCAAGAATGATTACTAGGTGGAGATTACAGCACATATAGCAGTTGGGGTTGTACTCACTAGGAACACACATCTACACTAGCCTATAACTTCTACATGCAACACATGTATAAGTTGACAGTTTATGCGGAGGAGAGCTTATAATAGGGTGCATTTAAGAGAGCACCTGCTTTTCGGGGGTTGCATTTTACATAACACCCTCCTCGTTTTATGCAGCAAAGAACAGTATTTCGTAGTTTTTCAAGCTCAGCTCGATTGAAAAGAAAAGAAAAGAAAAGAAAAAAATGAACAGGATGAAAAACGCAATGTCAACTACCATTAGCAGCAAAAAAACGGGCAGAAACATCAAAACAAGTTGCAGCGCGAAATCGAGACTCGGTAGGATTTCGACCGTCGAAGTCGCGGATTCTGTTGTGATTTGACGGTCAAAAATCCTCCCGAGCGAAATCCTCTCATGTCTTGACTGTCGCAGGTGCGGCACAGACCTGGCCCTAACCACAGCACTTAGCAGGGATCGGCCAATGACGCCTGGTTCGTGAGTTTTGTCTTAGCGGATGCTGTACATCGCTAACAGTCGCTCCGCGCATTTGCGAACACACATGGCCTGAAACACTGAAATTCAAATTGCATTTTATATAACACATGGGCACTATATTTTTCCAAGCCACTGTTAACACCCGGTCATTTTTTTAGTGAATTTTTATATACACCATAGGGTGTTATATTCGGGGGATTACAGTTCAACTTGTTAATACTGGCTGTGACTGGAGGTACTTCTAGTATTACTTTCTACTTCAAGTACTTGTGTCTGCAGATTCTATACTTCGTCTCCTGCACCACCTTTCAAATTCTTTCATGGTATGAGAGCTGTCTGGAATGAAGGCTCTTGTCAATTCGATTATCGACAGTCATGACTGGACCATCATTGGCTCCATCATCTGGTTCCTCAACAACTGGACCTACGGGTGTTACAAATCCTACAGTCAACACTGGTCAAACAGGGAATTGTGCAGCTGGAAACTTTCCACCTGCTTATTCTTCAATTGGGATGCCGCACCAGCAGCAAGGTTTGCCTACTGTGCATCCACCAGGGACTTCGTCCTCTACACCTGCAACAGAACAGCAACAAGCAGCAGCATCAATATCAACAGCTTTTAGTGGAATGAGTATCGATGGCTCAAGGTATGCAAGAGCTGCAGTCGCTCCAAGCTCCATTTCCTCGTTTGCATTTACACCTGCTCAACATCAACAATTTCAATTTCTTCAACAACAGCATCAAGCATAACAACAGTTTCAGTAACAACAGCAACAGCAGCAACAACAACACCAACCACAACAGCAGTTTCCGCAGCAGCAGACTTCTTTCACTGGTCCTGTCTTTCAGGCACCGAATCTTTTGAGCAATACACAAATCAAGACAACCATACCTTTTAATGGCGTTGACTTCTATGCCTGGAGTTTTGAGTTCGAGCTTCTCACAAAATCCACTGGATTGTGGCCGTTCTTCAGTGGCGATTACACGTATCCTGTTACGGGAACACAAATGGAACAACAGAGTTTTCTTCATGCCTCACTCAGCGCTTACACTGTCCTTATCCGCAATCTGTCGGTGAAGGAGCAGCTTGGCATACGCTCTCTTCACACCTGTTTGACTCCAGCCGAATCTGCATGGACGCATTTGAAGGGGCTGTATATGGCACAGGGCACAATTTCCGTGAGTAAAATTCTCTCACAACTGACAACTATACAGATGCAGGGTAACGAGAACGTTTCGGATTATGTCAATAGGGCTCAAACACTTCGTGACTAATTGGAAAATTGCGGCGGATACTTCCTAAAGGACATGTTTATAACAGTCCTTGCCGGTCTTGGAGCAGAATGGCGGCAGTGTCGATCTCTTCTTCGTCTTCAACCAAATCTTTCGGAAGCAGAAAGCTGCTCCATCCTTCAAGCAGAGCAGCAAGATCTTGACATGCAAACAGCACGTAACAAGAAAGGAGCAGTAAACATCAGTTTTTATTCAATGCCTACGAAACGCGTTAACAAGTACTTCTGCCACTACTGCAAAAGGGATGGATACAGAATAAAATTTTGCAACAAGCTTCAAGCTGATAGGAAAAGAGGGGGACAGCAGCAGTCGCAGCAGTTCAAGCAACCCGTGAAGCAGAATCCAGCGACAACAACTCCTGCAATATTAGGAAAACAAGTCTTTAGTTGCGTTACAACAGTTCATGCAACAGAGTCAGATTTCGACGATGACGATGACGAAAGCTTCAACGAGCAATCTGAGAACATGGTTTTACCTCAAGTATATGCTAACCTTGCTCCGGTTATTGCAGGACTGAACACTTGGTATCTTGAGAGTTGCTGTGGACAACACATGTGCTATGCCGAGATGCTCTTCATTACTCATCAGCGTCCGCTTCGACGTCCATTTCCTGTCACGGTCGCAAATGGACAAACCATAATAGCAAAGTCAATTGGGAGCGTCATGTTGGATTCCGTGGACACAGGATTGTCCTTACACGTTACTAATGTCCTCATCATCGAGGGACTTGGCTTTAATCTTCTATTAACGGCTCAACTCCTGCGACATAAGATCCGGACACAAGGCAACTGTGAGACAATGGATCAAGAACTTTATCATAATGATTCAAATACTTGCATCGGGAGAGCCGCCACTCAGTATGGGGTCTCCGTTCTTCAATTCGAGTCGCAAGGGACTACTGGATCTTCTGAGAGAGTGTTATCTCTTGGACCTTGGCAACATCCCGAACAAGCTGATTTTCAGAACGTTGACATCGACTTCCGTGCACCTGCAGTTCCCACAGGATCTCGTACAGCAGCTGCAGTTATCACGGCTCTTGATTCCTGGCCAACAAACACAGCCGAGGAAGACACATCAGCATGGAGAAATTATTACGACACTTTACAACAACTTGAAAACAAACCTTCAGGACCTTGGGGACCCAGCAGCAGCAGTAAAGCAGAGCAGCAGAATAGCAGTAAAATAGAAACAGGGATTCTCGTTGGTCAACCTGCAGTAGATTCACAAGACACAGAAATTGAGGAAGGGGAATTAATTCTTCAACTGGAAGAAGTACTCGAAGTGGAAATTACAACGACAAAGTTACCTCTTAATCGCTTCGTTCCTGGAGAACTCGACGAATCACCAGCGATTTCTCTTTTCATCGTTTCTTCTTTTTATACTAACGCTGATTTTTATCTGCGATCAATAGGACACAAAGCAACGGAAGATATTTGGCATCAAGGGTTAGGACATCCTTCACCGGGGATACTTAACCATACTATTCGAGCTTCAGTTCTTGACAAAAATATTTTACTCTTACCGGGTGGAACCGAGATGAAGCCTGTTAGAATATACCATGCAATGCTAGTTGTGTATATTGTGTTTACATCCCTAGTTGGGTGTACACCTGTGTTGGGGTGTCAATCCAACCCAATTGTGGTTGGAGCCCCCAAACACAAGGACCACAATTGTGGGGGCATCACAAGTGGGTTGGCTAAACCACTGGTGGTACACCACACTTGGACCACCTCCAACTGGTGGTCAACCATATTTGGAAGGATCCTCCCTCCCTTGTGATTGGTCCTAACCCCCCTTTCCCTTCCAACCTTCCCTTCCTAGCTCATCCCTCTCTTCCTATGTAATGCCTTTGCTTCATCAATAAATTGAACCTTTCTGTTTCTAACATGGTATAGAGCAATAATGGCTCACGCCAACTTTTAAATCCCGATCCTTCCCCACGCTTCCTCCCCGTCCCCTTCCGACGTGCACCTCATTGCCGTCCCCTCCATCGCCGCTGCTAGACTCCTAGCCGCCGCCTCTCAACTAGTTTTCTGTTGGGTGGATTTTCAAAAACCCCCCAATGCGCCAAATGCCATAGCTCGCTCGATAAATGACAGAATTGAGTGATTTGACTTGCAAAAGAACGCTCTTAGTGTCAGCTACAACGTCGTAAAATTTCGGACTGTTTCATCTCTTGGATTGTCAGATTTCGCTTTCCGAAGTTTGCACACTTTCCTGGATGTGATCACGAAGTGCTACTGAAATTTCTACCAAGTCCTATTTTCATCAGCTTACTGCCATCTTTCCTCATCTTTTGCCTCCTCACCTGCACCTGCTCATCGCCGCCTTTCCACTGCTGCAGCCGTAGCAGCAGCAGCAGAAGCAGCAGCAGCACCAGAAGGAGCAGCAGACACAGCAGCAGCAGCAGCAGCAGTAGCAGCCGCAGCAGCAGCAGCTGAAGGAGCAGCAGCAGCAGCAGCGACAGCGGCAGCAGCAGCAGTGGCAGCAGCAGCAGCGGCAGCAGCAGCAACAGCAACAGCAGCAGCAGCAGCAGCAAAAGGAGCAGCAGCAGCAGCAGCAGCAGCAGCAGCAGCAGCAGCAGTATCTACAGCCATCCCCATCCTCCCCTCCTCTTTGAGCCGCCGCGGGTCCACCCGCCGCCGCTCCCTCCCAGCCACCGCGGGTCCACCCGCCGTCGCCTTCCTCCCACTACGTGTCACCAATGGCATCCTTTCCCCCTCCCGTCGACGTCTCGACCCTCGATCATCTCGTGCGCGCTGCCGACAACTCAGCAACCAACTGTTATTCCTTCGTCGGCAGCCTCCACCGCGTCCTCGGCAGTGCATATGTCCTGCCGTTCCGCCTCCTGGACATCATGCTTGGTCTCCCAGAGGGTGACCTTGGGGACCCGCCGCCTCACCCTGGCGATCCCCCCCCTCTCATTCCCATCCCGGCGAGGAACCTCCGCCCCCCATGGTACCCGTTGGCACCAGCACTCGCGCTGCCACCGCTGAAGTTGAGCAGCTCTTCCTTACTCAGCGTCGTGAGTTCCTCGTGCTTTATACTGATTACGTGATCGCGTTGGAGGAACACGAGCGGTCGGCAACCCTCCGCACCCAGCATGCCGCTACCGCCGCCGCTTATGCCGCTGACTCTGCGCGATTTGCTGAGCGTCGTCGCGCCTGGCTCGAGGCGGACAGCCGTGCTACTGGTGCCCTTCTCCTTGCCATCCCGTCTGCGCTCATGCGCAACTTCCAGGCACGTCGCATCGGCTCCCGCCAGATCTGGCTCGAGCTTGAGGCAATGTTCGAACGCACCGACTTCGATGCTGTCGGACCGCTCTTCAAGGAATACTTTAGCATCACGATCGAACATAGTGCTGGCGCCGTTGACTACACCAGCCGTCTCCTGGACCTTGCCTCCCGCCTTGAGGCTCGCCAGACTACTCTCCCCCCCAACCTTCAGATCTACCGTCTCCTCGAAGGCCTGTTCCCTCAATATGAAGTGCGCGTCATCGCCTTCACTGAGGCTCAGCCCCGCGCCTCCCTTGACATTGTGGTCCAATGGATCATTGACGCTGAGGCCCGCCTTCTCTCAACCCCCCCCTCCGGCCTGAACTCCACCGAGTCCCAAAACCCCCAGCTTGCAGTCACACAGCCGCGTCGTGGCGGGCGCCCACGTGGCGGCCGCACCAACCCTCAGGGAGGGGGTGGAGGTGGCGGTTGTGGGGGCAGCGGAGCCGGCGGCGGTGGTGGCGGGGTCGAGGGTGGCAGCAGTGGTGGTGGTGGAGGCAGTAGTGGCTCATCTGGTAGCCGTGGTGGCCGCCCTGGCACTCTCCCCCCATGTTCCTATCTTCGCCGTTTTGGTCCCAGGGCGGGTGAGCGCTGCACCCAAACCAACCATCCCCCCGCGACCTGCTTCAAGGCGTATGATGACGCCTGGTTCGAGCGCGGCAACACTGACACACCCCCACGCTGGTCTGCCATGGATCCCCGCCCCTCTCTCCAGGATGTCAAAAATCTTCCGTCTTTCCTCCCCTCTCATCTTCAGCTCTCCTCCTCCTCCTCCTCTGTCGCTGACCCCATAACTCCCCAGGAGCTGCAGCAGTTTCGCCGCTTCCAGCAGCTGCAGCTGCTGCAGCAGCAGCAGCAGTGGGGCTCTGGTGGTCACGCTGCAGCCGCAGCTGCAGGAGCCGCAGCCGCAGCATCTGCATGGCAGCAGCAGCAGCTTGGCTTTGGCACCGCCGCCATGGCTGCCACAGCCACACCAGGTCCTCCTGGCTTTCCCCTCTGGGGCTCTCCTTCCCCTAGTGCTCCCGCCTCCCACTCCAGCTTTTTAGGCGAGCTCATGCTTTCTTCCCCTGCTTCCACTTCCATGTATCCCTCTGTTTTTAATGCCAGTGATTTCCAGTACCCTGTGTCTTCAGCTCCCTCCTCACTCACGATTGACTTTGTTCTCGATAGTGGTGCCACTGAAACTGCCCTCAAAGACGCCGGCACCCTCACCTCCCTCCCTTTCCCCACCAACGTTCATGGTGCTGATTCCAGCTTCTCCATCCCTTGCACTCATCTCTCCACCCTCCCCTGCCCCCCCTTCCCCTCTGGAGTGGTCACTGGTCTCCACATTCCCTCCCTTCGTCATAACCTGCTCTCCATTCGTGAACTCCAACAGGCTGGCATCACTACTCTCTTCCCCGCCTCTGCCACCTACTGTGACCTCCTCCACGGCCCCACTCGCCGCCTCCTTCATCGCCTCCCACTTTGCCCTCGCTCTCGTCAGTACATCCTCCGCACACCCCGCCCCTCCTCATGCCACGTGACCACTCGTGCAGGCACCTCCACTCTCCCCCCTCCCCTCCCTCTAGAGCCACCTTCCTCCAACTCCACCTCCTCCCCATGCTCTTGTCGCGCACTGTCCCACCCCGCTGTTCTCATCCACCACCGCCTTGGTTATATGAACTTTCCCACACTTCGTAAAGCCGTCTCCTCCCGCTTGCTTGACGGTCTTCCCCCCACTCTTCCTCCCCTCCCGTCCTCTTCCGCTCCCCCATGCGCCACATGCATTCATGGAAAGCTCAAACAACAGCCTCACCTCAGTCATCCTTCCTTTGCTGCTGCCCCCCTTGACCTCGTCCACATGGACCTCTGGGGCCCTAACCCTTCCCCTTCCCGCCAAGGGCACCGGTACATGCTTGTCCTAGTCGACGACCACAGCAGGTACTCCTCAGTGTTCCTCCTCCACACGAAGGCCGAGGCCCCTGCTGTCATCGTTACCTGGGCCGGGCAGTGCCGAGTCCACTTTGGTCGCCCCATCCGCCGCCTCCATTCCGACGGCGGTGGTGAGTTTCTCAACCGCACCCTCTCCTCCTACTGCTCAACCCATGGCATCCAGCAGACTCATACCCTTCCCCACTCCCCTCAGCAGAACGGTGTTGCTGAGAGTCGCATTCGTGAGATCACCAAGACGGCCCGCTGCCTCCTCACTCATGCCTCCACGCCCCCTTCTCTTTGGGGCTATGCCCTTGTCCATGCTGCTCTCCTTACTAATCTTTACCCACATCCTCAACGCCAGTCTGTCACTCCCACTGAGCTCTGGGCTAGCACCAAGCCAGATGCTGCCATTCTCCGTATCTGGGGTTGCAAGGCATATGTCCTCATCCCCCCACCTGACCGCTCTCGGCAGGCAGGAAAGCTCGCCTCCAAGGCCATTGAGTGTGTCTACCTTGGCCACGCTCGCTCTGCCCCTGGTTACCTCTTCCTTCACCCGTCCTCAGGCCGCCTCCTACAGAGCCGTGACGTGGTGTTCGATGAGAGCATCCCGTTCTATCATTCTGTTCCGCCTTCCGACCCCCTTCCTCCTCTCTCCCGCCCCCTCACCTGGGCTGATACTGTCATTCCCCCACTCCTTCCCCAGGCTCCCCTCCTTCCTCCAAATCCTGCTCCTCCCCCTCCTCCTTCCTCAGGTGACATTTACGACCCAGCTGTCCCTGACTCCCCTGCTCACTCTGCCTCATCGCACCAGCAGCAGCAGCAGCAGCAGAAGGAGTAGCAGCAGCAGCAGCAGCAGCAACAGCAGCAGCAGCAGGTGCAGCAGCAGCAGCGGATGGAGCAGCAGCAGCAGCAGCAGGAGGTGCAGCAGCGGATGGAGCAGCAGCAGCAGCAGCTGCAGCAACCGCAGGCAGTGCAGCAACAGCAGCCGCAGCAGGAGGTGCAGCAGCAGCACCAACAGCGGCCACAGCAGCAGCAGCAGCAGCAGCCACTGCAGCAACCTCATCGGCATCGCCGCACCACCTCTCCGTTCATCCTCCCACGCATCCACACTCGCTCTCACGGCCCACTCATAGGCCATCCATGGGGTTGGCCAACACCACCCCCACCCTCCCTTCCCTTCATTGAGGACTCCCATGAGGAGCTCATTGGCGTTCAGCAACAAACACCTTCCCTCACGCCTCTCTACTCGGGCTTCCTTGGCCTCCTCATCCTTGGCATCGCTACCGCTCCCACCAGATTCACTCCGTCCAACTTCCTTGAGGCCATCACCTGCCCCAATGCTGCCAAGTGGATCCAGGCTATCTTTGCTGAATGCGAGGCCTTCATCCGCAATGGCTCATTCGTTAACATTGTCCCCTCTCCTGACGACGTCATTGTTGAAGGCCTATGGGTGTTCCGAGTGAAGCAGCTGCCGGGTGAGGAGCCGGTCTACAAGGCCCGGTATTGTGCCAAGGGCTTCACCCAAACCCATGGCATCGACTACTGGGAGACATTATCTCCCACTGCCAAGGTCCCAACTCTCCGTGCCATCCTCGACTATGCTGTTCGCATTGGCATGGAGATTGCCTCCATGGATGTCTCCAACGCCTTCCTGCAAGGCGAGCTCCAGGAGCGGGTCCTCTTGCGGCGGCCTCCAGGTTCACGCAGCCTTCCCTGCCAACACAGTCTGGGAGCTGCGCCACCCGGTTTATGGCCTCAAGCAGGCTCCTCACGAGTGGCACAACAAGCTGGCCGCCACTCTGCAGTCCTTGGGGTTCCATGCCTCTCAGTCTGATGCCAGCCTTTTCCTTCGCTCCTCTCCCACCCGCTTCTTCATCCTGGTGTATGTCGACGACATGATCCTGTTCGCTGACGATGCTGCCGCCATGCAGCAAGTGAAGGACGCCCTGCATGCGCGCCTCAAGTGCAAGGACCTGGGTGAGCTCAAGCACTATCTGGGCATGACCATCACCCGGGACCGCACATCGCGCACCATTACCCTCTCTCAGTCCTTCTACATCGACCAAGTCTTGCAGCGGTTCGACATGGCGCAGGCCAAGCCGGTTACCACTCCCCTGCAGACCGACCACCAGCTTGCCCCTCCTCTGCTCCCTCCTCCTCTGACCATCCTTACGCTGAGCTCGTCGGCTCGCTGATGTACGCTATGATGTGCACCCGCCCCGACCTTGCCTACCCCATCAGTGTTCTTGCTCGATTCGTCGGTACCGGTCGCCACACTGATGAGCACTGGGCTGCAGCGAAGCGGGTCCTCCGCTACCTCCGTGGTACCAAGGACTATGTCCTCACCCTCGGAGGCTCTTCTCCTCCCCTCCTCTCTGGCTTCAGTGACTCCTCCTGGGCTGACTCCCAGCCGGATCGCCGTTCCTCTCAAGGCTACGGCTTCACAACTAGCAGTCTGCACAACATGCGCAACCGCTAATCTTCATCACGAACCTTTTCCGAGTCACTTTCCGGGTTCAACTTGACACAAACTGATGTAGAAAGCCTACAGCGACATACTCAACTTACCGGAAGCATGACCTAAGGAGGAGATTTATATGATTTCGTTTATCGAAGCTTCTAGTCGATACGTTTGGAGCGTCAACATACCAGCTCGACACATGGCTCACTGAATCTTCGTGGCATGGCTCGCGGTGGCTGAAAGAGAATCGAAAGAACAACTGCAAGAGTTTCAGAGTGATGGCGCAGGGGAGTATACCAGCACAACTTTCACGGATTACGTGCAATCCCTCGGAATCAAGCGCAGGTTGTCCCTGTCACATCAACACCAACAGATGGGGGTAGCAGAAAGGATGAACAGGACTTTACAAGAGAAGATGCGAGTGCTGTTGACTCAGGCAGCATTGCCACCTCATTTTTGGACTTACGCTTTGGACCATGCAGTTCTTCTGCACAACTTGCTGTCGACAACTTCTCTTCCTGAATTTTCTTCACCACACCTGCAGTGGACAAAAACAGTTGGCAACACAAAACTTTTAAGAGTTTTCGGCTGCATCGTTCAATATCGACCTCCGACAGCTGCACTTGGAAAATTTTCTGAACGCGATAAGTGGGGAATACATCTTGGCATCGAAAAACAGTTTTAGGTGTGGAAAATCATGGATCTTCGCACGAGTCAAATCGTAGCAGCACGTGATTGTCTTTCTACGAACGCTTAACCTTACCTATTTTTCGTGCTCACCAGGTAGCAGCTGCCAATCCTTCCAGGCTGTTCGAGGGCTCGCGTGTTTTTGCCACCAACGAGGCCGAAGCAGATGTACAGGACGAATCTGTCGCGGAATCCTCCGAAGCTGCCACAGACTTCCCCGTGCCAACCACGTCAGCTGGAACTGCGGAGTTTATTCCACTCGTTGACGCCGACCCTGAAGATGTTCGTAATGTTGAACTCGATTACGAACGTGACCGCCAACAGCAACCGATGCCCGTTGTCTCCGAAGCAGCAATCTGAGTCACACCTGAAGAAGTTGGGGGGGAACTGTCCGCGTCAACTCAAACCGTCCGCGTTTTACAGAAACTGGTTTACAATTTTTGGGACTTGCAGTCGTAGTACAGCCAAATAGCAGTAAAATTCTGGAAGCGAAAACAGTTCGCCAAGCTTTGACAAGTCCTCACAGGGAAAAATGGCGCAAAGCCATGGACCAAGAGCTAGCAGCTCTGGAAAAGCGTGGCACCTGGGATCTTATCCCACTGAAGGAAGCAAAGAGGAGTAAAATTCTTATCGGAAAATGGGTCTTCCGCATTAAGACGAACGCTGATGGCTCCTTCGAAAAGTTCAAGGCGCGATGGGCCGTCCGCGTCTTCGAGCAAACATTCGGGCTTGACTACAAACTCACCTTTGCTCCCGTCGGCCGACACACTTGTGTTAGAATTCTTCTATGCATCGCGGCCTACCGGAATTTCAGACTTTGCCAAATCGACGTCGCCAACGCTTTTCTATATGCGCATGTCGACGCACTAATTTTGGTCGAGTATCTACATTCCTATGAGACTAATCCTCTCAGCGTATGCCGTCTCAGAAAAACTCTTTACGGCATCAAACAGGCTCTACGACTATGGCAGCAGTATCTACACTGTCAACTGTTAACTGCCGGGTTTCGTCAGCTTCCACACGAGCAAGGAATGTACCTGCTTACCGACCGGTACCGACTACATCTTACTCGTTGCCTACATCGACGACTTGCTTTATATTATTACTACGGATTCTCTCGCGACTATCTTCAAACAGAAACTTCAACAGAATTTACAGATTACTATCGCTCCTACAGTCACACAGTTTCTCGGACTGAACATACACCGAACCGCAACTGCTATCCATCTTACCGCTTCAAAGTATGCAGCTACACTAGCCGCACGATTTAATCTCACAGCCTCGACATTAACCACTCCTTAACGGTCTCTACCGGCTAACCATCAACCGGATACTACTCCACTCGATAACACGGAACTACAGGTTTATCAACAGAACTAGGTTGTCTTCTATTTGCAACAGTAACGTGTCGTCCAGATCTCGCCTACACCACTAGCCAGCTCGGGCAATTTATGCGTCGACCTAAGGGGGAGAATCGGCTAGATCTTCTTCGCGCTCTGCAGTATTTCATCTCGACACCTGAAGTCGGACTTACCTATCAAGTTACTACTACGAAAACTTTATATCTTAATGGGTACGTCGATGCTGATCATGCAGCAGATACTACTAATCGACGATCTCGCACCGGATTCATCTATCGTCTCGAGCCTATTGGGACTGTCTCATGGAATTCTACAAAGCAAGAGCTAGTAGCTCTTTCATCCGCTCAAGCCGAGTTTATAGCTGCCTGCACGGCTACTCGCGAAGGACTCTATCTGCAAGAGCTACTGGAGGAAGCAAAATTGACGACAAGTACAAAATTCACCCTGCAGTGCGACAATCAAAGTGCAATCAGAATTGCGCATCAACCTGGTTTCGCCAACAGGACGAAACTATTATGTCTTCAAAGCCCTGCAGAGTTAAGTCAGATTGGCACGAGCGGTTTCCATGGATGCTGCTTTGTCATACTAAAACCGGCCTCCCCTCTCTCAAATGCAGCATGTGTTTTGAGCATGGTGTGGTCTGAACCAGGTATGGCAGCGAAGGGGAGGGCGGCGTGGACGTTCAGACCCAGGCCATGAAAAGCACGCTCGCACCACACGTCACAAGGCCTACATGACCGTCCTTGCGCTGACCTGTAAGGTGACGCCGAGGTCGACGAGCCACGCCTCAAAGTCGAGTGTTCGACCTCTGCGTCCATTCGGGGCTGTGACTCCGCCATCGCCACTGCTGCAGCTGTTGATGGCCGCTGAGCGAGTGAGGAGGATAGGTGGAGGAAGCGGTGAAGAGAGTGGAGTGCGGTGTAGTGCGGTGGAGTGCGGTGGAGTGCGGTGGGGTGCGATGGAGTGTGGTGGAGTGCGATGGAGTGCGGTGGAGACAGCCGGCAGGGAAGATGGCGCTGAAGGGAGCCAAAGCCAGTGGTCGGCGCTGGGACTTGACGGTCCGGCGGGCCCGCTGAAGCGGGGGTGGTGAGGCTGGAGCCGGCTGGCTGGGCGGCTGGCTGGCCGACCGGCTGATGAGGGCCGACGGGGCGCACGGGGCGATGGGGCGCAGGGCCGGTAGGGCCCAACGGGGCCGGCGGGGCGCAAACAAGCCGGCGGGGCGATCTAGGCCAGAGGGGCGCACGTGACCGACGGGGCGCTAACGGGGCCGGTAGGGCGCGAGCGGGCCGGCGGGGCGCTAACAGGCTGGTGGGGCGAGCGGGGCTAGAGGGGCGCACGGCGCCGATGGGGCGCGAGCGGGGCCGTCAAGGCGCTAACAGCCCGACGGGGCGCTGACGGGCCGGCGGGGCGCTACCAGGCCGGCGGGGCGCTAACAGGCCGGCGGGGTGCTAATGTGCCAGCAGGGCGCTAACGGGCCAGCGAGGCGATAACGGGCCGGCGGGGCGAGCGGGGCCAGAGGGGCGCACGGGGCCGACGAGGCGCTAACGAGGCCAACGGGGCGTCTAGGGCCAACAGGCACGAACGGGGCCGGCAGGGAGCTGATGGGCCAGAGGGGACGCACGGAGCCGACGGGGCGCTAACGGGGCCTGGAGGGCGCGCACGGGCCAGAGGGGGCACATGGGGCTGACGGGGCGCTAATTGGGCTTGGAGGGTGCTAACGGGGCCTGGAGGGTGCTAACGGGCCGATGGGGCGCACGGGGGCCGACGGGGCGCTAAGGGGCGGCTAGGAACGAGAGCGGAAGTGCGGGTGGGCGGGGTGGACCTAGCCTAGCGCATGATACCATCTCAGAGTAGAAAAGTTTACTAGAACGAGGCATACGGGTTGGTTTGTTCAAAAGGTTGTACCCTCCTAGCCTATTATAACATATACAAATATGTCTGACATAAATGACTAGCGTATAAATTACTAGCGTTCGGCTACTCCCGCCCCCGAAGTGTACAAGCCCTTTTTGCCCGACGTATTGGGCGGAGAATACATGCACACACCGCACAACAATTTCGCGTAACTGAATTGTGGAACATGTGTGCCCACGCATTTGAAGT